AGTCATCGCCCTTGGCCAAAATGAAGGTGTGGGCCAGGCGTGCGCCCCTGGAGGCTCTGGGGAGGAATGGCTCCCCTCTCCTGCACTCCTTGCCTTGTGGCCACATGTGTCTGAGACTTAAAGGAGAAAGGGTTTATTTTGCCTCCTGGTTTTAGAGATTTCAGTCAGCTGGCTCCATTACTCCAGCTTTGGGCAAAGCCAAAACATGGTGGTGGAGGAAAACTTCTTACCCCATGGTGGCTGGAAAGCAGGGTGAGAGGACGGGTTGGGGGCTGTCACTAACTTCCCAGGCCCATCTCCCAGCAGCCACCAGTCTCCCTTCTGTCTCTGATTTTTGTCTACACTGTACATTTTTACAACTGGGATTATGTGGTGTTGGACTGGCTTCTTTCACTGAGCACCGTGTCCTCAAGGTTTGTCAGTGTTGTAGTGTGTGTCTGAACTCCTACCTTTTTTAGGGCTGAGTAGTATTCCACAGCATGCACAGTGTACTACATTCTGTGTCCACTTATCTGTCAGTGGACACTTGGGTGGCTCCTAGGTTTTGGCTGACTCTGAGGGCCCTGGATGAGCTGATACAGGACAGGAGGGATGGGTGGTCCTGACTTTGTGGGCACCCTCACCCCTGCTATTGACTTTGACTACCCCTGACCTTCCGGCCTTCATCCCCTGATGTAGAGAGGGTTAAATGAACACCTTGGGGTGTTTCTGTGCGGACACGCTGGCTGTGTGCAGCTGGTGACATTTGTTCGGTTCCTGATTCAACCTGGGGCCGTGGGAGTGAATGACCTTCTGTAGCCTGATTGGCCAGGCTCTCCGTTATTCTGGCTGGGCTGGTGTGTGTCTGTGTGTCTTTCTTTCCACCACTGTGCAGTCTGTCTTGTCTCTCTCACACACCTGTCACACTCACGCTCTTTTTTTGTTTTTCTCAGTCCTGGGGTTTGAACTCAGGGCCTACACCTTGAGCCACTCCACCGACCCTTTTTTGTGATGGGTTTTTTTTCGAGCTAGGGTCTCGTGAACTATTTCCCCAGGGCTGGCTTCGAACCGTGATCCTCCTGATCTCTGCCTCCTGAGTAGCTGGGATTACAGGCGTGAGCCACCAGTGCCCAGCTGAGCCTGCCTTCTTCAAGCACTGGCTTTTCTGACGCTCTGGCGGAGGAGTGGCAGGTCTGGGCTCCCAGTCTGGCTACAACCAGGGATGGCACGGCCCAGTGGTGACCTTGGACTCTGAAGGAGAAGCAGAAGCAGTCCCCAGGGGCTGCCGCCCCCAGGTGCCCCTGCCGTGCTGAGAGGGAGGATGCTGGTGGGTGTGGCCTGGGCCCACTGCCAGCTGGGCCTCTGCAGGGCTTTGTGGGTGTCCCGGGGCGGAAGAAACCCTGACTTGGTCACCAGGGCCTGGCTTTGCCACATCCAGGCTGTGGAAGTCACCTTGGGGGTTGGCGCCCTCCTGTGTAGAATAAGGAGCTGAGGGGATGGCCCATGCGTCCAGGGGTGACCAGCTCCCCCACAGCCTGCGGCCTTCCCCGCTGTCCCCTCTGTCCCCTCTGCTGTTTGGTCCTGTCTGTCTCAGTCTCTGCTGGCCCCTCAGAGGGCAGGGCTGAGCCCTGGGGCGCAGGCTGCTCTTCCTCACCTCTGGGCCCCTTTGGATGTCCTTTGTCTGTGGAGCTCGGCCCCTGGACTCAGCCGTCTGCTACTTGAGCCCCCAATGACTCTGCTGGCCCTAGCCCCTAGCAGCTGGTCCCACATGGGTTCCCAGCCATCCCAATTGCTCTGAGTAAAGCAGGAAGCCCTGTGGATGGAACCAAAGAGGAAGTCAAATACCACTCTTGCCTCCTGGCTTTGTCATTCAACTTGATCAAGAATCCTGGGGACCCAGCATGGTAGTGCATGGCTGTAATCCCAACTACTCAGGAGACAGAAGAAGTAGGAGGACTGTGGTCTGAGGCTGGCAAAGCAAAAGTGCAAGTCATCCCAGAGAGGACGAGGCATTTGGGGCGGAAATCAAGGCCGCCTCTGTGTTCGGTTCCAGCGTCATTGTTTGCTTTATTTATTTATTTAAGGCAGGGTCTTGCTGCATAGTCAAAGGCTGACCTGTAATTTGTGATCCTCCTGCCTCAGTCTCCCCAGTGCTGGGATTATAAACACACACCACCACGCTTAGCCTTCACATCTTTTCTGATGTCCTTGGATGTTTGCTCACCTCCCTTCCCACTGTCCCCTCCTCCCTCCCTTCTTTCTTTCTCTCCCTCTCTTCTCTCTCTCTCTCTCTCTCTCTCTCGGTGGGACTGGGATTTGAACTCAGGGCTTTGTGCTTGCAAAGCAGGCACTCTGCTTCTTGAGCCACACCTCCAGTCCATTTTGTGCTGGTTATTTTGGAGATGGGGTCTTGAGAACTATTTGTGTAGGTTAGCCTCAAACTGCGATCCTCCCAACCTCAGCCTCCCAAGTAGCTATCCCGTTTTTCTTGGACACTCTGCATGCTGACCTACTTGTCATAGTTTGTGGCCTCAGGACCTCACACTCTGTCACTTGAGCCATTCTACCAGCCCTGTTTTGTGAAGGTTTTTTTTGAGATAGGGTCTCGCAGACTATTTGCCTGGGCTGACTTTGAACTGTGATCCTCCTGATCTCTGCCTCCTGAGGAGCTGGGATTGCAGGCGTGAGCCACTAGGGCCTGGCTGATTTTTCCCTTTTCTTGGGCTCAGCTTTACAATGAAAACTCTGGGATGCAAACCGTTCCCCTGACTGGTCCCCAGTGGCCGGGCTGGGCCTGGGGCTGTTGGTCCCCACCAGCATCCTGGGCAGGGCAGGGCTTCTCCTTGGCTACTCCTGACAGGCGCCCAGCTGGCCAGGACGGGGACCTCAGGATGGCTCTTGGCCCAGCCCCCTTCCTGTGCCAGCCCTCTGGCTCCCAGTCCCCAGTTGTCACTAAGTGGATTAGGGCCGTGGGCAGAAGGAGCCAGGGCTGGAGCGGTGTCTGGTGCCGCCAGCTTCTCACTGATTTGATTTCAGCCTCGGAGCCTGGGGACCCTGAGGCTTTTCTGGGAACAGCAGGAGGGAGTGGCCGGCAGGGGTGGGTGGCCCTGGGTGGTCACGAGCCCAGGCAGGCAGAACTCCTGGCTGGGTCCTCTGGGAGGACCCCCTCCCCGCCCCCGTGCCACAGAATGCTAGCATGTGGCCTGCTTCCCGTCAGTGACCTGGGCGTCCCCAGCATCGCTAAGTACCATGGATTCCAGTTTTTTTTTGGAGGGACTGGGATTTGAACTCAGGGCTTCACAGTTGCAAAGCAGATGCTCTACCACTTACTTGAGCCACTCCTCCAGTCCATTTTGTGCTGGTTATTTTGGAGATGGGGTCTTGTGAGCTGTTTGCCCAGGCTGGCCTCGAACTATGATCCTCCTGATCTCAGCCTCCCAGGTAGCTAGGATTACAGGCGTGAGCCACTGCGCCTGGCTAGAAATGCTTATTTTTATTTTGCGTTGCTGGGGGTGGAAGCCAGGGCCTTGAGGACGCTCTGCCAGCATCCACCAAGTCAACGCCCAGCCCAAGAACTACAGTTTAGCAAACCCAGTACACATTCGGCCAAATGTCACCTGGCCTGCTGTGAAAATTCTTCTTTGTCTGTGTCCACGGAGCAGATGTGGGTGAGACCTGAGGCCACAGCCACACTGTGCCACCCTCTGGTCCCTCCGGCTGCTTCTCTCACTGAAGTGGACGCTTCTGAGCTTCATTGTGCTCGCCACTGTGGGACACCTGCTGCTTTGTGTCCCTGTTGTCCCAAAAGACAGCAGAGCGGCCAGGCTGGGGCCGAGACCACACGCCTCAGCCTGTCACCTGCATGGAGCAGTGAACCCTGGGGACAACAGTGGTGGGCAGACCCAGCTTTTTCCCTGCCAGAGCCTGCTGTCTTGGGGACAGGAGGTGACCTGGGTTTGGCACCAGTGTGGGCCAGGAGTCCCTGTCTGCAGGTGGCAGAGGAGGCACAGCCCCTCCCACACCTGTCACTCTCCTGAGCTGGCTGCTACAGCTGGCCAGGTCCCTGAGGCACAGCCCACAGAGGGAATCCAAGAGTCCGTCCCTGGTCCCTGTTCTCCTGTGGGTGGGCTGGACCAAATCAGGAGCCAGGGAGCCGGTTTCTGTACATAGAGCTGCCCAGGCCCCTGGGGAGCCAGTGCAGGGGCCCCAGGACAAAGTCCTGGCTCGGGAAAGCCGGGAGGGCAGTGGTTTCTGCCTTACAGGCTGAGCCCCACAGCCGGGACGTAGACAGGTCATTGGCCTGCGGCAGTGGCCCTGCATGGGAGCTGGTGGCAGAGCCCAGAGGCCATGCAAGAGGGCGCCGGCCGGCCCAGCCACACTGCAGTGGAGCGTGTGGCCAGACAGTTGATGACTGCAGGGACAGTGGCCAGGAAGGTGATTGAGGCTAAAGGAAGCCACCTGCAGAAGGGGTAGGAAGGACCAGGCGTCTCTAAGGGGTGGTGAAGCTTGGGGTATCTGGTGTGGAGGGTGTAAGCGAGACCAGAGACCAGAGCAGGATACGGGGCTGAGGAGTGAGCTAGGCGGGTGGCACACGCCTGTAATCCCGGTACTTGGGTTGAGGCAGGAGGACTGTGAGTTAGAAGCTGGCCTGAACTACACAGCACAATTCTGTCTCAAAAAAAGAAAACAGCTGGGAGGTGGGCAGCTCACGCCTATAATCCCAGCTACTCAGGAGGCAGAGATCAGGAGGATGGTGGTTTGAAGCCAGCCTGGGCAAATAGTTCTTGAGACCCTATCTTGAAAAATCCTTCACTAAAACAGGGCTGGTGGAGTGGCTCTGAGTTCAAACCTCAGTACCACAAAAAAACAAAAACCTAAAACCAAAAGAGTGCATGGGGTAGTCGGGAGCCATGGCGGGTGTGTGAGCAGGGGAGGGCCATGGCTAGAGCTGCCTGCGTGGGGCGGCCTGCCCGGCCCCCATGTCTCGTGCCCACCGCCCTCTGCCTCCTCCCTCCCTCCAGGTGGCCATGGCCCTGCTGGGTAAGCGCTGTGACATCCCCGCCAACGCCAACGGCTGCGGGCCTGACCACTGGAGCACCGCCTTCGCTCACAAACGGGAGATTATCAACAGCCTTGTGTCTGCCTTAGACTCCATGGTGAGCGCCGCGCCCTCGGGGGAGGGGAGTGCAGCTGGGACCCGGCCTGGTGACGTCCCGCCATGGCCCGAGCGAGGTCAGGTCCATTAAACCCAGCCCTGGAGCCCCCGGGAGGCTGAGGCAGGAGGATCACTGACGAGTTCCAGGCACCCGTGGCTCACGCCTGTAATCCTAGCTACTTGGGAGGCTGAGATTGGGAGGATCAGGGTTTGAGGCCAGCCTGGGGAAACAGTTCATGAGACCAATCTCCAAAATAGCCAGAGCAAAATGGATGGGAGGTGTGGCCCAAGTGGTAGCGCACCTGCTTTGCAAGTGTGCAGCCCTGAGTTCAAATCCCACACCCACCTCCACACACAAAAAAAGTAAAACTAAGCAAATAAAAAAGATCTACCGGTGTGAAGTAACAGTTCAGAGAAGGCGGTGCGTGTCTGACGTCACACGGCTTGACCAAGTGTGCAGTCAGCAGGTGCACCCCTTTCTGGATTGTTCCTCTTGTGGGCGGCTCAAAGGCTGCTTTAGGAGATGGCTGGGCCAGAGGTGGGAGCCAGCAGCTCGCTCCGCACTGTGTCCTGCTGGGCTGGGCTGGGCTGGGGTGGGGTGGGGTGGGGCTGGGGGCTGCCATGGGCTGCTGTGGCCACATGTTGTCATTGCGTGTAAATTGTTTTTTTGAGATAGTCTCACTGTGTGGCCTCGTTGGCCTCAAGTCACGAGTGCTGGAATGGCCGGCATTATTTTTGCCAGTGCCGGGATTTGAACCCAGGGCCTTGCACATGCTGGGCAAACACTCTACCACTTGAGCCATGCCCCCAGCCCTGAGGGCCACTTCCCTGTGACAAACCTGGGCTTATTTGTGGCATTTTGGTTAATGTTCTGTGGTGTGGCGGCCAGGAGAGAAAAGAGCTCGCCTTTTTTTTTTTTTTTTTTTTTTTTTTTTGAGATGCTGGGGTTTGAACTCAGGGCCTCCACCTTGAGCCACTCCACCGGCCCTTTTGGCTTTGAACCTTGATCCTCCTGATCTCTGAGTAGCTGGGATTACAGGTGTGAGCCCCTGGCGCCTGACCTGGGGGCAGGGCTGCCAACCCTGCGTGGTCCCATGTCCTCACCAGAGTGGGCTCCCACTGCGGTGGTACAGGAGGCAGGACTGTGGCCCAGAGAGGTTGAGGAACCTGTCGTAGGTCACACAGCACAGAGGTTCTGATCAGAAAGCAGACTTCATAGGAGCGTGTGGCTTTACAGCAGGGTTTTCCTGTGCAGGCAGCTGCCCGCTGTGGGTGTAGGAACCCCTCTACATAGTGGGGCCACCAGCCTCAACCTGGAGCCACAGGAAAAACCTGGTTGCCAATGTGTTAGAGGTTTTTTTGAGGGGGGTGGGGGTGCCGGGATTTGAACTCAGGGCTTTGCGCTGATTTGGTAGGTGCCCTACCACTTCAGCCACACCACCCCAGCTCTTTTTTGCTTTTATTTTTCAGATAGGGTCTCAGGCTTTTTTGCCCAAGCTGACCTCAGACTGTGATCCTCCTACCTACAGCCTCCTGTGTAGCTGGGATTACAGTGTATACCACTGCACCTGACTTTTTTGTTGAGATGGGGTCTTGCTAACTTTTTCCCTGGACTAGCCTCTAACCGTGTTCTTCCAGACCTCCACCTCTCAAGTGTCTGGGATTATAGACTTGAGCACCACACGCAGCCCACTTAGAGTTGTTATTGCCCTGTCTCACTGTGGGAAGGGGCTGAGGTGGCCTGGAAGCTGGAATCTGTCTTGGGAGCATCCAGGATGCACGTCACCAGGTTGGGGTCAAGGCAAGCAGCACAGCCAGAGCAAGAAGGACCTGGGAGGGGCCCAGGGGACACTGGGGTGCTTCATTCATTCCTCTCGCAGTGATAACTGGGGGTCCCAGGCAGCCGGGAGCTCATGGACCCCCACACAGCTGGCCCTGGCCGTGCCGGGGCTCGGGGTCTCGTGCTCACGCGCGCCATTCCCCCCAGTGCTCTGCGCTGTCCAAGCTGAACGCAGAAGTGGCCTGTGTGGCCGTGCACGAAGAGAGCGCCTTCGTGGTGGGCACCGAGAAGGGGAGGATATTCCTGAACGCGCGGAAGGAGCTCCAGTCCGACTTCCTGCGGTTCTGCCGTGAGTACCCCAGCTGCCCCTGTCCCCTGCTCCCTGAGGACCCAAGCCCTGGCCTGTCCCTCCATGCCCTGCCAGGGTGGCCCCATGTTGCGTGTAAGCTGGACAGCGTGGTTGTCCCAGCTTCCCGGCCTGACTCCATCATGGGTGACCATCCACCAGTCCCTTGGTCTATACTGTGACTGAACCCCTGGCAGGCCACAGCTGGCCACCTCATGTCCACATTCAGATGGGGACACAGAGGCCAGTGCTGTGTCCTTAGCGTGTGGCCCCTGTTCACCTGAAGTTTGTTGACTGCACAACCTGTGACACTGTTCCCAGGTGAACATCTTTATCTGAACATCAGTCCTATGGGGCTGTCACAGTCATCGTCAGAGTCACTTCCTGGAGGCTCTGGGGACAGAGTGACCAAGTCTGTGTCCTGTGCCAAGCATGGTCGAGTTTTACCAGGGCAGTAGACACGACCTGTCAGTACTAAAACCTCACTTTGGGCCAGCTGTGTGCTGGGAACCCTGTTGTCTTTCTTAGCGACCTTGTGGAACTGTCACCCCAGTTTACAGTCGAGAGATCGAAGCCGAGCGGGCGATCACTGCCTCTCCCCCAGGGCCACACGGCTGGTTGTTGGTGGGAGTGGGCAGGGTTCAAATCCAGGCTCTGACCTCGAGCCCTATGTTCTCTTGGCTGTACCCCTTCAGGATTCGGGAGGTGCAGAGTACCCCCATCCAGGGGTCTTGCTTGGGGACAGGGTCCCTGAGAAGTCCAGCACCCCAGCTGTGAACCCGGAGCCACGAGGCAGGCGGCCCTTGTTATTAGGCCTCGGAGCCCTGTCCGTCCATCCCCCAGTCCTCACTCACCTCTGCCTGGCGGGCTCCTCCCCAGCCTCCAGCCTTACGGTCCTCCCCGCTCCCATGGCCCGGCAACACTCCCAGCTCCCCAGCCCTAACTCTCTGTCTGGTGTCTGGCACCTTTGGCCTCCTGAGGAAGGCAGGTTCACTTTGGTGGCAGGTTAGGGTCTATCTCCCAGCCCTGAAGGTCAGCACCCAGGCTGGCATGGAGCCCACATTATGGATTCCAAATTCATGGTCAAGGTTGAGGTTTAAGAGCACCAGCCCTGATTGGGCGTGGTGGCTCACGCCTGTAATCCCAGCAACTCAGGAGGGAGAGATCAGGAGGATCGCAGTTCGAAGCCAGCCCAGGCAAATAGTTCTCGAGACCCTATCTCAAAAAAAAAAACACAACACAAAAGAGGGTTGGGGGAGTGGCTCAAGTGGTAGAGCGCCTGGCTAGCAAGCGTGAGGCCCTGAGTTCAAACCCCAGTGCTGCCAAAAGAAAAAAAAAGAGCAGGCCTTATAGTCAGACAGCCTGGCCCCTCCCCCAGCTCTGCCACCTGCCCAGGATGAACGACCCAAACTGAAATCCAAAATCCTTATTGCTCCCAAATCTGAGACTTGAGTGCAGCATAGCATCACAAGTGGAAAATACCATAGGTGCATCAGAAATACAGATGTATATATTTTTTTCCACCAGCCCTTTTTTGTGAAGAGTTTTTTCGAGATAGGGTCTCAAGAACTATTTACCTGGGCTGGCTTTGAACCGCAGTCCCCCTGATCTCCTCCTCCTGAGTAGCTGGGATTACAGGCGTGAGCCGCCGACGGGCAGCAAGAAATATTTCATTAGACGACCTTTGGGCTGGCGCACAGACGTAGGTGCAACCAAAGGGAATTTCATGTTTAGATTGGGGTCCCATCCCCCCAGAAAAGATCATTACGTAATCACAAATATTTCAGAATCTCAAAGAATCTCGAATCTGAGACCCTTCTGGTGGCACACACGTTGGGTAAGGGACAGTCAGTCTGGATCACAGCCTGGTCCCCCGAAATAGAAGAGAGAGGCATGGGCGTTGGGGCACTGCAGACACAGCCGCGCAGAAACTTAAGTCACACTCAGGAGACACGGCCACCAGCTGTCGTCATTACTGTTAATAGTGTGCTAGATCAGCCGTCCTGGACAAGGACATCCCCCAGCGCTGGGCACATGCTTAGTTGTGGGGTGGCCGCAGCCCCAGCTGTATGCAGCCATCAGCGCCTTTTCACCGTAGGGGTGGGGACAGGGCCGGGCCAGTGGGCGTGACAGTGTCCTGTGGTTCCCGGTCCCATGCTGGGCAGATGCACCTGGGTTTCCAGAGCCCAGGAAAAGCCGCCATTTATAGCTTCCCAAAGGAGAGCTGGGAGGGGGCCCTCTGTGTCCCCTTTCTGATGCAGCTTCTAGCATGTTCTAGAAGGGTCAACGGACATTCCCAGTTCCTCAGCCTAGCATGAGTCTCCGTCTTTGCAGTCCCGTATGTGTGTGTTTGTGGGGTTGGGGGACACAGCAGAAAACGGGCCTAGATACTCGGTTAGTGCCAGAGACAGAATGGGGCGTCCGGAACAGATACTCAGGGAGCCCCAGTTCTCAGCCAGGCCAGAGGCTCAGAGAGGGACAGGACTTAGCTGGGGTCCCCCGCTAGTTAGAGGTGGCCAGAGATGAGACCCACAGCTTGGTAACTCTGCAGGGACCGATGGCTCTTGGTGGAGCGTTTAGGGTTGGATCCCTTCATTCGTTCACTCGCTTGTACCTCAGGCTTGGCATGGGCTTTTTTTTTTGATGGTGGTTTTTGTTGTTTCTGGTAGCACTGGGGTTTGAACTCAGGGCCTCACACTTGCTAGGCAGGCACTCTACCACCTGAGATAGGGTCTCCAGAACTATTTGCCTGGGCCTGGCTTTGAACCATGATCCTCCTGATCTCTGCCTCCTGAGGAGCTGGGATTACAGGCGGGAGCCACTGGTGCCCAGCTGAGGCGTGGGTTTTGAGACGTGTGCTCACTGTACCCCACATATTCTTCTCCTACAGGGGGTCCCCTGTGGAAGGATCCAGAGGCAGAACATCCTAAGAAGGTGCAGCGGGGCGAGGGTGGTGGCCGGAGTGTCCCGCGGTCCTCCCTGGAGCACGGCTCGGATGTGTACCTCCTGCAGAAGATGGTGGAGGAGGTGTTTGACGTTCTTTATAGTAAGATCCCACCTCATTCCATTGGGCGGGGGCAGCCCCAGGGCAGGCGGGCCCCATCCTGACTCCCTGTAGTGCTGGCCTTTGTGGCACGTCCCCTGCTCTTCCCTGCTGTCCCCTCCCCCACCGCCTGCCTGCCCAGGACCAGGGGCCTCTTTCCAAAGCGTGAGTCTGACTGTGAGGGCTCCCTTTGTCCTCAGCATGGCATAGGGCCTCCACAACTGTCCTGTCCCTTGCCACCCTCCAGCCCTTGTCTCCCACCTCCAGCCTTAGCACGGTGTGGCTTTGGGGACCACCTTCGCCTCTTCTCTCTGGGGGACTCATTCTCAGGCTTAGCCTTGGGAAGCCCCCTCCCCTGGGTTGGAGCCCCTCGGATACCTATTTGTGCCCCATCCCCTCACTAAGGACAGTGTTCGTCCTTTTTGGCTGTCCTCCAGCCTGCATTTTAGGGCTTAACAATGGCTGGTGCTGAGTGTGTTTGTTGCATGACTGAGTGAAAGCTGACAGGTCAGCCAAGTCTGTCTGGTAGGGGGTAGGGAAAGGAGACCTGGCCTTACCTCCCTTGGGAAGGGTCAGATTGCAGACCTTCTTAGAGCTCTCAAGGTGACCTTTGCCCTCCCTGGGTGACCTTGGGCAGGTCCATTTGGCCCTAGGGATCTCGCCTCATTTATTTCTGGCTCTTTCTTTCCCTGTTGCAACCTTTGCTTCTGTGCTTGCAAAGGTCTCAGGGGATACTTGCAGTATAAGGAGGAGGAGGCCAAGGGTGACCATGGGTCCAGAGGCCCTGAGTGGCCACGCTGCCACTCTGGTCTGGAAGGACTTGTCACACAGCTGGCTGTGCCACTGTAGACAGTTTGCCAGCTACGGGGCTTGGGCTGAGCCTCTGTGTCCACCCTGTCTTGGTCCCCTTGGGCAGAATCAGGTGACTATCAGGTACCAGAACCCAGGTCTGGAGTGGAGAGGGGCATGACCACCCTCCTTTAGCAGGGAGCCCCAGGCCATCAAGGGCAGACAGCCTCTGGGGTTGTCCTGTACTGTCTGTGGTGACGTGGGCATGCTGCATCAAATGGGGGTCCCTCAATACTGCCCAGCTCGGGGGCACACCTACCCCAGCCCCTTCCTTTCTGCCACCTGTGCTCAGCGCCTGTCCTCGCTCCCCGACAGGCGAGGCCCTGGGCAGGGCCAGTGTGGTGCCACTGCCCTACGAGAGGCTGCTCAGGGAGCCGGGGCTGCTGGCCGTGCAGGGGCTGCCCGAAGGCCTGGCCTTCCAGAGGCCAGCCGAGTACGACCCCAAGGCTCTCATGGCCATCCTGGAGCACAGCCACCGCATCCGCTTCAAGCTCAAGAGGTGAGTGAGAGCCGTGTGTGGTGGTACACGCCTGTAATCCCTGCACCCAGAAGGCCGGGGCAGGAGGAGTGCGAGTTCAAGTCCAGCCTAGGCTACGTTCTAAAATACTGAAGTGGGCAGCGGTGAGCCTGTGGCACGGGTGGAACTCTCGTGGTCATGGGGCTCATTTGTGGACTGGTGGTTGATGAGGTCTTGGTGGCTGGCCCAGGACAGGTACCATCCATCACCTGGCAGCCAGGAAGACAGCCAGGGCCTAACGAGACTGGGCAGGGAAGGAGGCAGACGGGATGGGAGGCGGCCAGCTGGAGGCCGTGATTGCTGGCCTGGAGCACAGAGGCCTGGCGCAGGCCCAGGTTCTCTGGTGGCCCGGCCGCCTCCAGGTCTGCATCACCACCTATAGAGCGGGGCCTGGCTCCTGTCCTGCCCGCCCCACAGGGCCGTTGTGCTCTGCAGGGGGTGTGGACAGTCCATGGAGAGACAGGTGACACGGATGTACAAAGCCATCCTTGTGTCCCCTCTGTCACCCAGGCCACTCGATGATGCTGGGCGTGACTCCAAGGCCCTGATGGAGCTGAACGGAATCTCCCTGCTCCCCAAGAGGTCCCCGGACTGTGGCCTCCATGGCCAGGCCCCCAAGCTCGCCCCCCAGGAGCTGCCCCCCACTGCTACCTCCTCCTCCATGGCCAGCTTCCTGTACGCCACTGCGCTGCCTGGCCACGCCGTCCGGGAGCTGAAGCAGGAGGCGCCTGCCTGCCCCACGGCCCCCGGCGACCTGGGCCTGAGCCGACCCGTGCCTGAGCCCAAGGCCACCAGTGCCCAGGACTTCTCCGACTGCTGTGGTAATGCTGCTGTGGGGACCTTGCTTGTCTTGGGTGGGTGGGGGGGTCACCCATGCAGAGCACCGGCTTACCCCGAAGGAGGTGTTTCTGAGCAAGGGGTGGACTGGGCAGGTGGCGTCCAGCTGAGCCTTATTTGAACTTGGGTCTAGAAACAGTTCTTAGCCTGAGACCAAAAAGATGCCTGGGGAGGCTCACTCTGAAGAGAGTAAACAACTCTAATCAGTCCACATGCATTTAATGCATACCTACTGCATACCCAGCTCGGATTCAAGGTACTGGCGAGCTGAAGAGAAGGGTCGGCTGGGACTGAGGAAGACATGGGTTCAGTCCTAGTTTCTCCATGGTGTCTGTGAATGCTAGGGCAAACCCTACCCCTTTGAGCCTCAGTTTTGTCATCTGTTAAATGGGGATGCTGGAACAGATCGAGTATTTCTTTTCCAAAATGCTTTGGGCCAGAAAAAATAAGTGTGAAAAAATAAATGAAGTGCTCACACTTTATTTCAATAGATGTGCCATATTCACGGTGAATGCGTGGCACACAGTAGGTACTTCTAAGTTATATTTGCCGTTGCTGGTGGAGTGGCTCAAGTGGTGGAGAACCCGCCTAGCAAGCGTGAGGCCTGGGGTCAAACCCCAGTACCACCCCAAAAGATAACAGCAAATATTTACTGCTATTACGAGAAAAAGAAAGACACAGACCCCCTCCACAAGTGCCCAGGGGCCAGTACTGCTACACCTGTCGCAAGTGTCCTCACTTGGGAGAGGTGACCTCCAATGCTCGCTGACCTGACCTTTGGGCAGCAAACAGGTGCAGGTGACCCGGGTCCTGAGCAGGGAGCTAGCCTTGAGTTCATGGCCATGGGACTCCATTCTGGGGTCTCCCTTAGGTGAGGCTTTTATTCCCTGGGGCCAGAGCCCATGAGCTGGGGCTGGGTCTTTCTCCGAGGCCCACCATGAACTTGGCACCTTTCTTCTCCCTTGTCCAGGACAGAAGCCCCCGGGGCGCACGGGGCCTCTCATTCAGAACGTCCATGCCTCTAAACGTATCCTCTTCTCTATCGTCCATGACAAGTCAGGTACGTGGTACACTCGGGGACGTCTGGCCAGAGTGAGCACCTGCATGCTGTTGGCTGAAGTGGAAAGGTGTCCACTGTGTTTGTGAGGGGAAGGAGGACCGGCTCTGCCCAAAGGGGCTGTGAGGAAAGCCAGGGTGTAATAGGTAGCTGCGCCGGGTAACAAGTTGCCCCTGAAATCTACATTAAAGTAAGCATTTGTTACATCTCAGTTTCCCTGGTCTCCAAGCCCACAGGATCAACATGGCTTAGGGACCGTCCTGTGGCTGTGGTCACGATGTTGGCTGGAGCTGCAGCCTCATCTGAAGGCTCGACTGAGGTTGGAGAGCCAGGTCCAGGCTCGCTCACGTGGCCCTGGGCAGAGGCCTCTCCGCTCCTCCCCACGAGGGCCAGTTTGTGGGGTTGCTTGAGACATCCTCCCAACAGGACAGCCGATATCCTCCCCGTCTTTTCTGACCTGGCCTCAGAAATTGCATCACTTCCCAGCACTGGGGAGACTGAGGCGGGAGGATCACAAGTTCAAGGCCAGCCTGTGCTGTATAGTGAGACCCTGTCTCAAACAAACAAAAGAAAGCCAGACGCTCATGACTCACGCCTGTAATCCTAGCTACAGGGGAGGCTGAGATCAGGAGGATCTCAGTTCAACGGCAGCCTGGACCAAAAGTTCATGAGCCCGCCCCGCCCCAATCTCCCAAATAACCAGAGCAAAATGGACAGGAGGTGTGGCTCAAGTGGTAGAGCCCCTGCTTTGCAAGCCTGAAGCCCTGAGTTCAAACCCCAGGCCCACCAAAACAAAACTAAACAAAAGCCCTGTCCCCTGGCGTCAGAATGAAGGACCTGGCTGACCAGGCGGAAGAGCACAGTGGGAGACCTTGGTGGGCACGGGCCCCCCGGGATGGTGCTGGGCTGCGGTGCGCGTGGGTGTGTCACTTCTGGATGCTGGGCTGGTCCCCGGTTAGCCAGACCAGTGGAGAGAGAACGGAGTGGCCAGCCAGGTGGGTCACCGGGAGGCAGCGAGTGGTGGCTCTCACAGTCCCTCCTGTGTCCTGACAGAGAAGTGGGACATGTTCCTGAAGGACACAGAGGACATCAACACACTCCGGGAATGCGTGCAGATCTTGTTCAACAGCAGATATGGTGAGTGGGCGAGGCCGGGCACCCCCGCCGAGCACCCATCTCATTATGTAGCAGTCACTTGTGTTCCCCAACACTGCGGCAGGAGCCATATGTTGTCACCCGTGCGTGTCATCCAGCGTGGGCTCTCCTGTCTGGGGAGGGGGTGGTTGTGTCAATATTTCCCTTTCACGCTCTTCGGGAGGGTGCGGTACTGATGGCAAAGCCCCAGGCCTGGAGTCCCCAGTGGGAAGAGGGACAGGCTGAAGACAGACTGCCTCTCTGTGGGCTTTAGAAGTTGGTGTGTCCCCTACAGCGTTTGTGTCATTCCTTGCTTGGCAGGCCCTGGACCTTTCGGGGGGTTCAAACTTCTGAGGCACCTCCTCCAGGGAGCCTTCAGGTCTTTAGCCTGGGCCAAAGGGCCCAGGGTCCCCTACAGCCCTGAAATGTTGTACACTTATGTGCCTTGCTTGCTGCTGACTCTGAGGGACAGGACAGTGCCTGGCACCTCTTGGGTCCCTAGCTGGGCTCAGACAGCAGATCCCAGTCCACCTCACTCCAGGTGGCAAACCCAGGGTACGACTTCACAGGCTGGGGTCTTCCGTGTTGGCACACTTCATCTGCTGGGTGGCAGACGTGGGGGCTGGGCTCAGTGGTCCTGAGTTCCTCCGCCCTGCCTCTCTCTCTCCTGGCTTCTTCTGTACTGAGGTTCAAACTCAGGGCCTACACCTTGAGCCACTCCACCAGCCGTTTTTTGTGATGGGTTTTTTTGACATAGGGTCTCATGAACTATTTGCCCGGGGCTGGCTTCGAACCGCGGTCCTCCTGATCTCTGCTTCCTGAGTAGCTGGGATTACAGGTGTGAGCCACCACCTCCCAGCTCCTTTGTCTCTTTGTCGCTTGGTCTTTATGGAGCTTGGTCTGTGCGTCTCATTCCCTGCCAGCACAGTGTGTCCCCTGCCTGAGTGGGTGACCCTGAGCCACTCAGAGATGGCACAAGCTACCACAGATTACTCTGTGACCACATGGGTGTGATATCAGATATCGCATGAATCATGCAGGCTGGCCAATGCTGCAGGAATGACCCTCTGCGCCATGATCCCAGAGAGGGAAGGAAGGGACCCCCCAACTCCCACCCCAGAGTTTTAGTGACCACGAGGCCGAGAGGCAGCAGAGGAGGAGGGGACCTGGGAACGCCCTGCACGTTGGTGGGGAGAGGACAGGGACATTTTGCAGGAGTTCCTCGTGCTGGCCAGCGACCCCACCTCGGTCCCTGTACCTCCCCAGCCTGTGCACCCTCCATCTCGGCATCCTCCTCAGCCTTCACCTGTCTGCTCACCTGTCACCTGTGTATTTTGAGCCACATCTTCTATGAGGCACGACAGTGGGGGTGACTCAGGCCCCGACTGGTCTAGGGGCCCTTCAGCAAGTGGCTGAAGATGTGTCTGTGACAGTATACAGTGGTGGTAAACACCATGCTGCAGCATGCATGCAGGAGCACACAGTAGTTGGTCAGGAAGCAAGGACAGCTCAGAGGAAGCGAGGCCTCAGGCTGGGGACCCAGGTGGGGCTTCCTGCTGGGGAGGGGCTGAATGTGGCAGGTGGTTCTCAGGGACCACCAAGGCCACCACCAGGGCTTCTTCTGCACCTGAGTGTCCTCTGCCCCAGGCAGGTGAGCCAGCTGGGCAGCAGCCATGGGAATAGGGACCTGGGGAGGAGCCAGGATATCTGCTGCCTGGGGAAGGTCCGGCCAGCCAGACCTCCAGGCCCAGTCCAGGACAGAGTGCAGGGCTTGGCTTGGCCAAGGCCTCCCGTTCTCAGGACAGAGTTCCATCCAAGTGGCCCCCATGGGTGGAAAACTCCATGGATGTGATGTCGTCTGGCAGCCTGAAGTAACCTGCATAACATGGGTCACCGTGCCCAAGCCTGCTGCTGTCCTTCCACACACTTCCTGTGTGCAGTGGGCCACGATAAGACTGCATGCCCAGGTGGAAAGCAAACAGAAAAGGAATGAGTTGGGGAAATTCCAAGCGTCTGGAAACCCCCAGGTCATTTGTCGCCTGGGAAGACTTTGAAGCTGGCTAGGCACCAGTGGCTCACACCTGTAATTCCAGCCACTCAGGAGGCAGAGATCAGGAGGACTGCAGTTCGAAGTCACCTTGGGCAAATAGTTCTCAAGACCCTGTTTCCAAAAATCCTATCACAAAAAAAAAGGGGCTGGTGGAATGGCTCCAGACGTAGGCCCGGAGTTCAGGCTGCACTGAAGGAGGACGACAGTGTGGTCAGAGCACTGAGACCCTGTGCGTGTGTACTTCCTCCCTGTGGGCAGCACCTGGGGGCCATCAAAGCTCCTGCTTTACAGACAGGCCCAGCAAGGAGCCGAGCTTTGAGGACAAGTTGTTTTTGGACAAGTTCACGTGCACTCCAGAAGCCATTGCTCAAGTCTTGGAGGCTTGGCAGGGAGGCAGGGGTGGGGACGAAGTGGTTTGACAGCTGTTGTGACTTCCAGGGTTTAATCTGACAACGAGCTAAGTGTGACTTCACAGTGAGATCTGGCTGCCAAAGCCACCAACGCAGAGCAGCAACAGTACACAGATGTCAGCGACGCCAGCCCAAGGGCCACCTGTGCAGCTGCGCCTGCCCTGGCTGGGGCATGGCTGGGATGTAGGGAAGGGGAGAGGTCAGCTCCAGGCTGCATCTGTGGGAGCACAGCAAAGCCGTAGGGACAAAAGGGAAGGCTCACGCGAGTGCCGGCTTGTCCCGAGTACATAATCGTACTTAGGTATTTGGGTGCTGGAGATGGTGCAGCACACCTGTAATCTCAGCACGAGGGAGACTGAGACTAAGGAGGATCATGAGTGCCAAGCCAAACTGGGCTCCACAGTGAGACCCTGTCTCCGAGTATTTGGTGGATGGGTGAAAAACCCCGTAGCTTGGAGGTGAGGGAGCTACATTCCAGCACCACAAAGAAATGAAAAAAAAAAAAGTTGGCCTGAAGCTACAATCGGTCATTCAGTCAGTCATCATTCATTCACTGACTTGTTCATTCAGCACCATGCAGGGAGCACCTGCAGTGCAGCCCGCCCTGTCTGTCTGTGTCCCAGAGTTGGGGCAGTGCACACAGTCCCTGTTCCCCTGGCACTTGGGTTCCAGGCAGTGGACAAGTGTGTGTGGTCATGTGTGTCCTGTCAGGTGGTGACACACACAGCAGTCGAAGGGAGGGGTGAGTAGGGAAGGTGGGGGCTGCTCTAGGCTTATGAGGACAGAAGGAGGGCGGGAGGCCTGTGGTGTGTGGAGAAGAGGATGGGGAGTAGACCAGGGGACCAGAGAAGCAAGTGAAAAGGTGGTGGGGTAAGTAAGGGCCGAGGCGATGGAGTCACACGTAGGACTTTGGTTGTCACTGACCTGGGAGCCGGTAGATGTTTTTGAGAGACAACATGAATTGATTCGGCTGTGCACAGCCAGAGTGGGGTCCAGTGCTGGGAGGTGACAGTCACCTTAACCCTGGGGACACTGTGCATCCTGTGACCTTTGTCCTGTGCTCAGTCTTACCCTTGCTTTTGCAGCTGAAGCCCTGGGCCTGGACCACATGGTCCCTGTCCCCTACAGGAAGATCGCCTGTGACCCGGAGGCCGTGGAAATCGTGGGCATCCCAGACAAGATCCCCTTCAAGCGGCCCTGTACTTACGGGGTCCCCAAGCTAAAGCGGATCCTGGAGGAGCGACACAGCATCCACTTCGTCATCAAGAGGTGAGTGGCTGGGCTGGAGGTGTGGCTCAAGCCGTAGAGCGCCTGCCTCACAAGCGCAAAGCCCTGAGTTCAAACCCCAGTGCCACCACAAAAAAAAAAAAAAGGTGTAGGATTGGATTGGGTGTGGTAGAGCACTTGCCTAGCAAGTGTAGGTCATGGGTTCCATCCCAGAGTGGAAAAAAATACATAAAGCCGGGCACCGGAGGCTCACACCTGAAATCCCAGCTACTCGGGAGGCAGAGATCAGGAGGATTGTGGCTCAAAGCCAGCCCCAGGCAAATAGTTCTCGAGACCCTATCTCGAAAAAACCCATCATAAAAAAGGACTGGTGGAGGGGCTCAAGGTGTAGACACTGAGTTCAAACCCCAGTACTGCAAACAACAACAACAAAAATAGAGGTGTTGGGGTGCAGCCAAGTCCAGGCTGAGGACCAAAAGTGGAGCAGGTAAGGGGTGGGGCAAAGGGGCCGCTGCCTGGACCACATCCAGCAGTCCTCGAGGGAATTCAGGCTCCTTAAGTTGGCAGGGTGGCCTCCCTTCTGGGCCTCCTTTGAGAATGCTGTAGAAATGGAGGCAGACATTGGGTTCTTACTAAGCGGGGTGACCCCCTAAAGGAGATGTGAGGCCTTTGAACTTACCTGTTGCCAAGGGGAGCCCACCTGAGCTCCGGCCAGGCTCCTGCGCCCTCCCCCAGGGTTCCCTGGCCTGCTGCCTAGTCAGCCATGGGTGGGTGGCAGACAGCAGAGCTAGATGGAGCGGAGTAGGGACGGCAGAGCCCAGGACACCTGCGCCTGACAAGCGAGCACCCATACCTCCATGCGGTGCCCAATCTTCCTGGGCAGCTTTGTCCTGAATGATGAGAGATGGAGGGACAGCCCGAGGCCAGGCCGTCCAGCACCCCTGCCTCCACCAGAACTGCTCACTGCTTCCCAGGCAGCTGTCTCCGGAAGTTCCTGGCGGCTCGGTGCTGTTGTACACACCTGCTGCTCTTCTGTTGCGCTGAGCTGTAAACAAGGACTGGGGTTGAGGGGCTGGAGGTGGCTCATGGTGGATCTGCAGAGCCTGAAACAGAGCCTGAGTCACAGAGAGGCTCAGTGCGAGTTTATGGATGAATGAGTGAGTGAGCAAATGAGTCAATAACCGGCCACCTTTAGGCTTGTGCCTTCTTTTTTTGGGTGGAGGGAGTTTGTGCCTTCTCATAGCTTTTTCTTAGTACTTAGTAAAGAAGCAGTAATGATGGCAGAGTGAAAAGGGCGGGGTACCCACGCATGTAATCCTAGCCTCTCGGGAAGATAACGGTTTGGAGGCCAGCCCTGGCAAAGAGTTAGCAAGACCCTATCTCAACCAACAGGCTGGGCACAGTGGCACACCTATGACCCCAGCTCTGTGGGATAGGCCCTGGCACACACACCAGACCCTATCTGAAAGTAACTAAAGTCAGAAAGGACCAGAGCGTGGCTCAAGTGGTAGAGCACCTGCCTAGCAAGCCCGAGGTCCTGAGTTCAAATCCCAGTACTGACTAAGAGTGGGGCGGGGGTAGTCTGTATAGAGTGGCCTCTGAAGAAAGGCCCCATGTGTTAGGCCAGCACTGGGAGATGGGGGGCAGCTGCCTGCACAGAGCTGGTCAGTGTCTAGGCCAGGGGGTTGGAGGCTGGGGATAGACCCCTCTTGTGGTCTTGTGGTGGAGGTCTGGGGAGCTGGCTGGGGGCCAGAGCCGGGGTCTGCTGTACCCTCTGCCTGCCGGGTAGGGCAGATTCTGGGGTTGGGGGGGGGTGGGAACAGGAACAGAGGTCCAGAACCACCAGGGGTCTGAGGCCAGGGACCAGGCCAGCGATGCTGGGGACGGGGGCTGGGCTGCTGAGGGGCAGAAGTAGCCGGGTTGGGGGTACAAGTGGAGCCAGGAAGGATGTGCTGTGTGTGGAATATGGGGGAGGGGGGAGGGAAAGGGTCAGTCCTGGGCCTCTGAGCACAGGCGGCCCCCAACTGAAGGGTTTTCAACTTCACCATCATACGCTCATGCACTCTCAGGCCACTGTTCGGATTTTTCGCTTCAGTATAGTATTCCCCAAATCACGAGAGCCAGTCAGCTCCTCTGTATCAAACAGGCTTTGCATTAGGCAGCGTTAACCAGCTGTGTATCAGGAAAGTGTCTGTCTTTTCCTTTGTTTCTGTTTTTGTTTCTGTGGTGCTGGGGATTAAGCCCAGGACCTCACACGTGCTCGGCAAGAGCCGTGCTCCGTAGCCCTTTTGGTTGTATTTGGTTTTTGAGGCTTTTTTTTTTAATTGGTGGCACTGGGGTTTGAACTCAGAGCCTCATGTTTGCTAGGCACGTGCTGTTACTGCTTGAGCCACTCCGTCTCTTGTTTGTTCTTGAGACAGGATCTTGCTCAATTTGCCTGGGCTGGCCTTGAACCTGGGATTCTCCTGCCTTCACCTCCCCCAGTGGCTGGGATTACAAGTGTGTAGCTCCATGTCCCCTGTTAAATGCATTTCAACCTAAAGATTTTCTTGTTTTTTTCCTTTTTGCAGTCCTGGGGCTTGAACTCAGGGTCTACACCTTGAGCCACTCCGCCAGCCTTTTTTTGTGTTGGGTCTTTTCAAAATAGGGTCTCATGAACTATTTGTCTAGGGCTGGCTTCAAACCTTGAACCTCCTGAACTCTGCTTTCTGAGTAGGTGGGATTATAGGTGTGAGCCACGGCACCCGGCTGATGGGAGATTTAGGGAGAACAAAGTGGGAATTCTTCACAGGGAAGAATTAAGTGGGCTACAGTTTGGATGGAGAAACACGGAACTCAAGACCAGATGCAGCGAGGGCCTGAAAACTGTGGCAAGGCATTGGGTGCTAAGGACTTCACAAACCAGCAGATACAATTCCCTGCCTGTCCCCCAAAGCCACTGCCCATCATGGGGGGCAGTCACTGGGGTGATGTATCAGGAGTGCATTCAAACTTCACATTCCGGCTGGGTGTGGTAGCATACATCTATAATCCCAGCACTCAGAGGCAGAGATAGGTGAATCTTGGTCCAAGGTTAACCTGAGCCAAGTCAGCCAGACCCTGTCTGAAAAATAAAACTCAAAGCAAAAGGACTTGACTTAAGTGGTAGATTGCCTACCTAGTAAGTGCAAGCCCTGTGTTCAGTCCCCAGCACCACCTCAGAAAAAGTAAGAAAAAAACAAAATCAAGTTCCACAGGACTTGTAATTGGTGGTTCATGTGTCCCCTCTTACTCCAGCTCAGCCCACGTTTGGCCTCCATTTCCCCAGGTCCGTATTGCCATCAGCCCATCAGGACACAGCCCAACCTCAAGGGCTGACCTGCTTGTAACTGAGGCAGGACTCAGCAGGAGAGAGGTGTGGGAGAAGATTCTAGAATTCCGGGTGCTGCTTAGAGGCCTGGCAGCACCCCCTCAGTCCAGCCCATCAAGGAGGACCTCTAGTCCTGTAGCCCATGGAGCACCTGACCTCTCCCAGGCTCCCAGGGAATTGCAAGCCCCCTCCCGTGCTCCCCATAAGTAAATAACCCTGAGGTTAATGGACCCTGATGACACCGGCAGCCCACTCCTCACCGGGTTGGGGCAGGAGGCAAGCAGACTAGACACGCTGACCCGGAATCGCTCCTCTGGCTACAGCTGGGCCTGGTGCAACCCAGATGGGGGGAGATCCACCAGCCGCAGAAACCAGGCCTCTCAGAATGAGAACAGAAGCCGGTGCTAGTGACTCATGCCTGTAATCCCAGCTACTTGGGAGATTGAGATCTGGAGGATTATAGTTTGAGGCCAGCCCGAGCAAACAGTTCACAAGACCCATCTCCAGAGTAACCAGAGTAAAGTAGACTGGAGGTGTGCCTCAAGTAGTAAGAGTACCTGCTCTGCAAGTGCGAAGCCCTGAGTTCAAATCCCAGTCCCACCAAAAAAGAAAAAAACAGAAGTCAAATTCACACTGTGCTGCCCACCCCACCCCCCCGGGGCCCAGCCTCCCCTGAGGGTTTTGCCTTTGCGAAACCCTGTGGGCCCTCCTGGGGCAGTGGCAGCTGTACACCTGGACATAATTTACCCTGTGCTGCTCTGACGGCCTGACTTCAGTGACAGAGGCACTGTCCCTGAGGATAGAGCAGGAGGAGGGACAGACTGCAGGAGGTGGCAGCAATCAGCCCTTGCTGGCCTTTGACCAGGACTTATCTGTGTGATTTAGTCCCTGAGTGGCCCCTGGGCCCCCAGTGGCCTCCCCTGCTCAAGGGCGCCCCACAGCCCACAGGTGGAGACCATGGCCCCAGGCCTTCCAGCCAGTCTGCTCGCCCTGCAGAAGCTTTCAGCCCTTCCCTGAGGTTATGTCCCCTTCTCTGTGGAGTCTTCCCAGTCCCTTTCCCAGGAAGGGTTGGCCGTCCCCTGTCTTCTGGGACACACCTGAAGGCCCTCCCCAAGTCACCACATGGCTGTGATCTGTTGGTGGCTCTGGTGTGTGCTGTCCCCATGCCTGGCACTGACTGGGAGACAAGCGGTGTTGATAGACTCAAGGGGAAAACGAGCCAGTTCTTCACGATCCAGGGCTGGGGAAGGGACCGGAGTTGCTCACGGGTGACCAGGAAGGGAGGAGGGGGTGGAAGACGCCCCCAGGTGGCGTGATGAACAGGTTGGACCCTCCAGGACCCCTCAGGACTGGCCCAGCTGTGCTCAGCTGGGGAGAAACAGTTTGGGACAATCCAAGTTCTGGGCTGTCCCCCTTCTGCCCTGGTGTGTGGCTTTAGCTGTGCAGGTGGGAGGTGGGACTTGGTGGCCATCACTGCAGAGGGACCTGGAGGTGCCCACCTGAGCTCTAGAGCACCCTTGACCTGCACCCTTCTCACACCATCTCTCTTTTCTCTCCAGGATGTTTGATGAGCGAATTTTCACAGGTGAGTGGGTACCAGCTGGTCCATTCTAGAACTTCCAAACTGGTGTCCCCTTAGGTGACTTGACTGCAGGCCCTATTCTCCTAAGTCCCTCCCTGAGCTGTGGTTCTCAGTTCTGGGTTGGACATAGGCCCAGGCTCCCAGGTGTGGACAAGCTAAAGCCCTTATGGACTCAGGATGCCCTGGACAGGGAGTGATGAAGCTAACCCCAGTCCCGTTCTCTTCTAAGCTGCTTGCTTGCTTTATTTTATTTATTCATTTGATTTTGAGACAGGGTCTCGCTCTGTAGCCCAGGCTGGCCTAGAACTCGCTTTCCTCTTGCCTCAGGCTTCTGAATGCCGGAACTACAGGCATGCACTACCACCCTCATTTTAATTTAATTTCAACAGTCCTGTGAAGGTGGCTCAGTGGGCCTGGTGCCCACTGAGTGTGACCCCAGAGCTCTGACTGTAGCAATAGGGGACACCTAGCAAGGTGGCTGTGGGGGAGCCTGGCTCTGCCTGGAGCAACAAAAGCTACATGGATTTGAGGGTGCAACCTACCCGGGCTTTGACTCTTCACTCTGCCTTCCACCAGCTTTGTGGCTTTGGCCAATATTTTCTGGTCTCAGTTTCCACATCTGTGAAATGGAAATAAGAGAGCCTCTTCCCAGAAAGTGGTCCTGTGGTCCAGCCTTGGGGGACACCCTGGCCTTTTTCCTGAGCTTTCTGGTTAGGGTGCTGTCTGGGGCCAGGAGAACCTTCCAGAAGGGGGAGCAGAGTCAAGGCCGTACTCTCTGATCTCTCTCTCTCTCTCCTTTCCTGCCCTTTGTCTTCCTGGACCCCTGGCCTCCCCTGGCACTAGGGCTTCCTCAGGGGACGTGAGTCTCCCAGGACCCATTTCTGGCTGTTGGCTGGACACAGTCCACAAGGAAGGACAGAGTCCAGACTCCCCACTCCTCCCCAAAGACGCCCTCAGGAGCTTCCCCCAGAGGCCTCTGCCCAGGTGACCCGCAGATAAGAACTGGAGGCCATGGAGCCAGCACCCTGACCTTGACTCTCTCCTAGGGAACAAGTTTACCAAAGACCCCACCAAGCTGGAGCCAGCCAGCCCGCCAGAAGACACCTCCACAGACGTGTCCAGGGGCTCCGTCCTTGACCTGGCCGGGATGGCTCGGTAAGGCCAGCTGGGCTCCTGCCACTTCCATCCCTGGCATGGTCCTCACACCTGACCCTGCACACGCCCATTGCAGGCCAGGGACGGCCCAAGAAAGGGAAGAACAGTAAGGAGTCTGTCTCCTAGAGAACTCTTGTCCCCTCAACATCTACCCAGGTGTCACTTACCCCAGAGGCCTGCCCTGAACGCCCGCACTGGATCAGCCCTGTGTCCACAAGGCCCTGAACTCAGTGCATGGCCTGGTCACTGTCCGCAGAACTCCTGCTAGACTCTGAGCTCCTGAGAGACAAGATGGCCATTTTCCCAGAATTTCTGCAGCCAGCCCAGGCATCCCCTGCAAGGCTCTGCCTGACCTTCACCCCTTATCTCCTCCTCCCCTTCCAGCCTGGGGTCCCACGGCCCTCAGTCCCCTCAGCCAGTACCATCCAGTCCCCGCTGTACTAAGCCTGGCGGTCCTGACCTGGCCGGCCCCAGGCCCTGGGCTTGGAGCGCTAGTTGGAGGGGAAGGTGGACACCCGGGTGGGTGATGCCAGGGCAGCCTGCAGGAGCGTGGCCAGAAAATTGTGGGCCTGGAGTCAGGGTACTGGGGGTCTTGCTGCTGCTGGGTGGGGAGCCCCATTGTGGGAAGTTGGGGGTGGTATAGAGCCAGGCAGGATGACTCAGGGCAAGGTCAGTGTCAGGTCATTTCCTGGCTTCCTTCCTTAGGTCAGACAAGGGCAGTGTCTCCCCCGAAGACTGTGGACCAGGTAAGAAGGAAGGACCAGGACCTGGGATGGGTATCATGGAGTCAGAGGGCCAGGAGGGTGGCCCTCAGACTTCTCACTGCAAGGAGCAAAGCATGCTGGGTACTCCCTGGGAGGAGGAGGGAGGAGACTGGATCTTGGTGTCACCACTGACCGTTGGCATGGTCTGGAAGTACCAGGCCTGGCCTTAGAGCCCCAGAGGGCTTCTAAGACCTCCATTCCTGGTCTAGGCAGGAGCTGCGGGGGGCCGATGTGACTTTTCCTAGGGTCTCACTCACCAGTTTCAATTGTGAGAATGTTCTTGACTTACCCTGTCCAGCTAAGCTCAGGCCCAGACCTGACTGGATCCCTCATTTCCTCCTCACAGGGACCTCTGGGGACCTGGGTGTCCTGAGGCCAATCAAAATAGAACCAGAGGACCTGGACATCATTCAGGTCACTGTCCCAGGTAAGGGACAGGTCAAGGGGCTTGAACCTGCTGTGTCTGCCTGGACCAGGTCTGTCCCGTGCCACCCCTCAGGGCTGTCCCAAGTCGTCATCTCTAGGTAGATTCTGACCACCATGGGGCATGGAGGAGACTTGGTCCAGCTACACCTGCTCCGTGTTGAGGCGGATGCACTAAACTCTCACCTTCTGGAAGGTCTCCCTGACCTTCATGCTCTGGTCTGGCTTCCCTGGGATTTGCAAGACTGGAGAGAGAGGAAGAAAAAGGACTTTGAACTTGGAACCTCTGGAGCCTCACTTTGCACATCTATAAAGAAGGAGGTTGGGCTGGGCACTGTGGTTCATGCCTGTAATCCCAGCTACTCAGGAGGCAGAGAGGAGGATCGTACTTCAAAGCCTGCCCAGGCAAATAGTTCAGGAGACCCTATCTCAAAAAACCCATCACAAAAAAGGGGTTGGTGGAGTGGCTCAAGTGGTAAAAGCACCTTCCTTGCAAGTGTGAGTGAGGCCCTGAGTTCAAATCCCAATGCCGCCAGCAGGAGGGGGTCGGGAACCAGGCAAGGTGGTACATGTCTGTAATCCCACCTATGCCTAAGGCGTAAGTAGGAAGATCCTTAGTCTGAAACCAGTCCCAGGAAAAACTAAAGACCCTATCTGAAAAGAAAAGTGAAAGCAAAAGGGCTGGGAATATGGCTTAAGTGGTAGGGTGCTTGTCTAGCAAGCACAAGATCCTGAGTTCAAATCCCGGCACTGCAAAAAAAAAAAAAAAGAAAAAGAAACATGGGGGATGTACTTGGTCCCTGAAGGACCTGTCAAGAGACTCTGCCTGGGTTCTGACAGTGCTGGTCATTAGGCCTGGCTCCCTTTAGGGGTCCTGGTCTGAGGGCATCCTGGAGAAAAAGGACACAGACCCCTGTGGGAACTGCATCAGGAATGGAACATGCAGGAGATGACTGTGTCATTTGGACTTTTCTCTCCAGACCCTTCACCAACCTCAGAGGAGATGACAGATTCCCTGCCAGGGCACCTGCCCTCAGAGGATTCCGGTTATGGGATGGAGATGCTGACGGGTAAGGCGTAGGCTGGGCCTGCCACCGTGAGGACTCCCCTCTCTGGGGAGCAGCGGGGGTCCTGTGGCCAGGAAGTCCCCGGGCTTTTCTCCATATTGGGCACCACTGTTAGGCAAAACCCAAAGTAGACTGAATGTCCGTCATCCAAAATGCTTAGGACTTTTGGAATTTTGGGAGTTTTGAAATGTTTGCATTACACTTACAAGATAGCACTTTGCCTGAAAGGTAACTTCATACGTGTTCACCCCCTCACACACACTTTGGCGGTACTGGGATTTGAACTCAGGGTCTTGTGCTTGCAAGGCAGGTGCTCTTCCACTTGAGCCACACTCTCAGCGCTTTTGCGGCTGTTATTTTTCTAATAGTTTATCGCTGTTTCCCCTGGGCTGGCCTGGACCCCGATCCTATTTGCACTTACTGCGTAGCTGGGATGTCAGGCATGTGCCGCCACGCCCAGCTTTTACTGATTGAGATGGAGTCTCTTAACTTTTTGCCCGGGCTGGCTTCTAACAAGACCCAAAATGCATGGTGCAGTGTCTGGCCAGGGCCCCGCTGGACACACTGCGTCGTGGTGGGATTGTGTGTGTCTCTCTCTGCGTGGTCTCTGCCTCTCCTTATGAAGCCACCAGGGACCTGATGACCTAATCTAGTCACCTCTCTTAATATCATTAACAGAGGATTCGGGGATCAAACTTCCTGCATGCGTTTCAGGAAACAAAACCAAATCCAAATCCCAGCAGTAGCTTCCTTCCAGGAGACAGATGAGGTCATCTGGGACTCCTTGTCACCCGTGCCTGCCTAGGCACAGCTCCTGGTGGGTCCCCTTCTGTCCCCACCACGTGCTCCTCTTCCTCTCCGCTTGGGAATTTCTGCCCGGGTAGAAATGGCAAAACTGTGGCTTATTCATTGCAAATGTGTCCAGACAATCCTTGGCGCCATTCAGAGAGAGTGCGGCTCAGCAGGTAGGGAGCTGGTGCGTTTATCCACTGTCTCCCCTGCCATTGGCTGAGAGCTGTTCCCGCCTCTCCCGCCATTGGTTGATACCTGCTTCCATCATTATCCCCACACACGGCACACCAATCGTTGACACCTGTTTCTGCCTCCCACCTGCCATTGGTTGACGCCTGTTTTCCCGCCATTGATTGACAGCTGTTTTCCGGGTGTTAACTGCTGCCATTTCTGCTGCTTGCTGCGGCCAAAATCCAGCCTCAGACATGGCGGCCCTGCACCCTTTGCCTGCGTGGTGCCCGTTTTCCCGAGGGAAGTGCAGGCGTGTGGCTCAGAGCTGGCCCTCCACCTTTTTGTGCTGATGATGCTCACCAAACCTTCTAGAGCCTTCCAGAAACTTCCAGCTCATTGCATACTGGGGATCCAGACATGGAGCGCGTCTTCCTCTGCCCATCAGCAGACCTTGACCTGCACATGGCTGACCCAGGACCAGCCCCCTCCTTCTAAAGTGGGATGATTTTCTTTTTTTTTTTTTTTTGTCCCTAAGCTGTCTCAGAACTGGGGTTCAGCCTGCCTCCCCTCCATCCTGTCCCTTTCCTGGGCACTTAGGTCTCCAAGTGTCCCTTCTCGGTCCCCCAAGGCCAGCAGGAGATCCCACCTACCCCAGTGCGGCCCCCAGCACTCACCTCCCCTGACCCTCAGGGTCCAGTAATGAGGTCAGCAGAAACATGACAGTGGCAGACTTGGCTGTTGTCCAGGAACCCAGGCCACTTGCAGCTTGGAGTCCTCTTAGAAAGGAAAGTGGTGCGGGGGGTTCAGAGGCAGTGGGTAAGCGGAAGGAAAGACGGACCACAGTGTAGGAACAAGGTCTGGTGGACCACAGCCTTCCTGCCTGCCTTGTCCCTGTGGGGTGAGGTTATAGGGACAGGGCTCTGGACAACTGCATTACTTTTGTAGCCCAGGCTGGCCTTGAACTTTCAGTCTTCCCACCTCAGCTCCCAAGTGCTGAATTACATCTGTGTACCATGATGCCTGGCATATTTCTTTATTTAGGGGTGGGGCTGGGGTTTGAACTCCGGGCTTCCCACTTGCAAAGCAGGCGCTCTGCCACTTGAGCCACGCCTCCAGTCCATTTTGCTCTGGTTATTTTGGAGTTGGGGTCTCTAGAACAATTTGCCTGGGCTGTCCTTGAACCGAGATCCTCCTGATCTCAGCCTCCCCAGCAGCGAGGATTGCAGGCGTGAGTCGCTGGCGTGGGTCTGTTTGTTTATTCTGTTAGTTTGTTCCTGAGTTAGTTACTCTGTTAGCTCTGTGGTGCTGAGGTGGAACCCAGGGGTTCACGCGAGCTGGGCAAGCGCTCACCACTGAGCTGCCCCAAGACAGATGCCCTTTCTTGCAAAAGTCCACTCAATTAGGTTTTGCAGGGAAATCCCTGCGCTCCAGAGAGAGGAATGGGCTTGGGGACACCGGAGGGTCACACGGACTTTGAGGCTGCTGCTGTGGTGCACTGTGCTCCACAGGTCAGACTCCAGACTGTGGTGGTTCTGAACCAGGCCCTGTCCCCCAGTCTGGCTGAACTCCAGCCCTACCTGCTCTCACACTGTCCCCTGCCTAACTTGTTTGTGGCATCACCACTACCTGTTGTCACGTGTTCTCTTGGGAGGTTTTTTTTTGGTTTTTTTGGGTCTTTTTTTTGCAGTCCTGGGATTTGAACTCAGGCTCTATCACTTCAGCCACACCTTCAAATAGAGTCTTGTGCTTTTTGTCAGCCTTTGACCACAATCCTTCTTCCTCCGCCTCCCAAGTAGCAGAGATTACAGGCATACACAACCATGCCTGCCTTTGTCTTTTCTGTGTCCAGCCTGCTATGCTGGCACAGAGACCTGAGTAGGCACCTGTATGGGTGTCCTGATCCCATCTGGGGTGCTGTGCTGTGCTCTAATGTTGGGGCCCGCAGCCTGCTATTCCATATCTGGCCACCCCTCTTTGGCAATGGGCTGTCTAGGAGATGACAAACTTGGCCTCTCGGCATTTTCTGGTCTCTTGTAGAGAAAGGCCCTGGTGAGGACCTGCGCCCGGAAGAGAGGCCTGTGCAGGGTGAGACCCCGTCAGTTTCCCAAGGTTCACTCTTCATTCTTGCTGTACCCCATCTCTCCTCTCCTTCCCTTTGCCTCCCGGCTCTGCCTTCTCCACCCTGTTACTCTCCAACACCCTGCTTTGGAGGTGGGCGTCCTTTGATGGGAGGTTTTATAGACTCTTCTGGAACTAGTAGCCATCTGGACAGAGTGGCCCCTCTCTGTAAAATAAGGTGTTTGTTTTTCCTGGTGGAACTGGGCTTTGAACTCGGGGCCTTGCACTTGATAGGCAGGTGCTCTACCACTTGAGCCATGCCCCCAGCCCTTTTTGGCTTTTTGGCTTTTTTAGTTTTTTTTTTGGATAGGGTTTTGCTTCTTTTGCGAGGGCCAGCCTCAGACCTTGATCCTCCTTCTTACAGCTCCCAAGTACCTGGAATTACAGGTGTGCGCTACCGTGCCTAGCTTGTTTGTTAAAGTGTGGTGTCACTAACTTTTTGCCTGGCCTGGCCTTGTACCGCAGACCTCCTGATCTCCACTCCCAAGTAGCTGGGATTACAGGCCTGGTCCACCATACCTGACCTGTGTGCAAGGTTTTAAAGCTGAGATCTGAGCCTAGTTTTCCTGATCAAGGAGGATTGAAGCCTGACTTTGTGTCCAGCAGACATTTTTTCCCTCTTTGCTGGGAATGAGGGTGGGGCTGGAGGAGGGAACAAGGAGAGGCTGGAGTCTGTTTTGTGTTGGGAGTGTTTGCCCCCAGAATGGAATGATGGGAGGGGGTACAAGGAGAGAAGTGTCAGCTTTGCCAAACCCAGCCTGGAAGAGGGAAGCATGAGATATTAACAAAAGCCATCGCCACCTGGTAACAGTGCGCTCTACTCACAGGCTTACTTTGCACCTCTTGAGTTAAATCACTTACAGAGCTGGTCTGAAGGCATGCTTACCCAGAAATGCTGGCAGCCATTCCTAGGTCACAGAACCTTCCAAATCTCCACTCAGCCTGGTTTTGCAGTCAGAAGTGTGAGCCCAGGAATTGTGGACCCAGCTGTAATGGCCTTTTTTTTTTTATGGCACTGGGGTTTGAACTCAGGACCTCATGCTTGGGCAGGTGCTCTGCCACTTGAACCATTCTGCTGCCCTTTTTTGTGATGGAATTTTTCAAGATAGGGTCTCACCAACTATTTTCCCAGGGCTGGCTTCGAACTCTGATCCTCCTGATTTCTGCCTCCTGAGTAGCTGGGATTACAGGCGTGAGCCACTGGTTCCAGGCTTATAACTACCATTTGTGAGGACACAGGATCCCTACCACTCCTGCTCCCTTTCCCCTCACTCCAAGGTCCCTCCCCTGGTACCCACCTTTCAAGGGTTTGAGCCAAAAAGTAGGGGTGCAGCTGCACCCAGGTGACTGAACACCCCAACTTTTCCTTCCAGACAGCCCTGGCGATGTGGTCCGGCCCTTGCGGAAGCAGGTGGAGCTTCTGTTCAATACACAATACGGTGAGCACAGAGCCCAGCCCCTCCAGCTGCCCATGTGCACGTGGTCAAGGGCAAGCCCTGGATTCACCATCAGGGTGGGGACACTTGAGGGACTGCCATCCATCCTGTCACCCCTGGAGGTGCAGCCTACTGGTGGGCACACTCTTGTTCCCACTTACTCTGTGGCTCACATACTCTTGTCTGCCTCTGCCTCAGGTGGTCACACTGGGCAGCTGTCCTCAAGGACAGATGGATGGCCTCATCAGATCTTTCAGGACACCCAAAGCAGTGGCTGTGAGATATATATATGTGTATGTATATATACATATATATATATATATATATATATAGAGAGAGAGAGAGAGAGAGAGAGAGAGAGAGAGAGAGAGAGAGAGAGAGAGAGAAGAAGGGAGGGGAGAAGGCTTCTCTTTATTGAGCTCCTTTGGTTTGCCAGGTGTTAAGCTCAATGCTGGCTTTCCAAACTTCTCACAAAACCCAAGACCCATGTCACAGATGAGGAAAAACGAGGCCTGGTATAGACATGTGGTCCTGCCTCACTGAGGGGCAGAGCCCGGCTTGGACCTCAGACCTGCCTCCTCCTCCATGGGTGGCATTGGCCCATGGTAGGGTTTAAGGTTAATTCTGCTGGCAGTGGGAAGGACATTCTGCAGGGCCTCAGTGACCTCAGACAAGCCACAATCCCTGGAGAGCTGTAGGTCTCCCCCTCCAGCTTCCACTAGACAGACACAGACAGACAGACACAGACACAGACAGACAGACATAGACACACACAGACACAGACATGGGGGACAGGGTTGCAGCTTGTGGCCCCCCGAGCTCCGGGTGGCCCTACAGCAGCTGTGTCTCTGCAGCCAAGGCCATAGGCACCTCGGAACCAGTCAAGGTGCCTTACTCCAAGTTCCTGATGTACCCCGAAGAGCTGTTTGTGGTGGGACTGCCTGAAGGCATCTCCCTTCGCAGGCCCAACTGTTTTGGGATTGCCAAGCTGCGGAAGATTCTGGAAGCCAGCAACAGCATCCAGTTTGTCATCAAGAGGTAGGGCTCACCCAGAGCAGCACCAAACCGCCATCTGTGTCATCAGACAGCCAATGCCTGCTTTTCTTTCTTTTCTTTATGTTTTCATTCTTCATTTATTTATTTGGTGGGACTGGGGTTTGAACTCGGGGCTTTGCACTTGCAAAACAGGTGTTCTACCACTTGAGCCAGTCCTCCAATCCATTTTGCTCTGGTTATTTTGGAGATGGAATATTACAAACTGTTTTCCCAGACTGGCCTCAAATCTCTATCCTCCTGATCTCAGCCTCCCAAGTAGATGGGATTAATGGTGTGAGCCACCAACACCTGATTCTTCATTTATTTTTTATCTTTTTGTGGGGGGTGTTCTTGAGACAAGTTCTCAAAGCAATCATGATCAAGTCAGGTGCTGATGGCCTACGCCTGTAATCCCAGCTACTCAGGAAGCAGAGATCAGGAGGATCTCTATTTGATGCCAGACTGGGCAAAGAGTTTGCGAGACCCTATCTTGAAAAATACCCAACCCAAAAAGGGCTGGTGGAGTGGCTCAAGTGGTAGAGCGCCTGTCTAGTAAGCATGAGGCCCTGAGTTCAAACCCCAGTACCGCAAAACCAACAAACAAAAGACCACAATCCTCCTGCCACAGGCTCCCAAGTGCTGGAATTATAGGTGTGTGCCACCACACCTGGCTTCTTCCTTTGTTTTTAAACAGCAGGGCCTTCACTGGGGTCTGACTCCAGTTGGACAGGGACAAGTCCTCCAGGCCTGGCCACATCCAAGGCAGCCATACTGACCCCTCTCAGTGTCAGGAGAGCAATGCCCACTTTGCCCAGATGTGGATAGTAACAGAGGGCATTGGAGCAATACTGTAGGAAGTGGCCATGGTCCCAGGATTGGATTGTCCAGTGGTGGCTTTTCCAGGCCCTTCCTGTTTCTTTGGGAACTCATTTTTGTCTGCGAGGATCTGGTGCAACACTACTGTATCAATCTATGTGCATGACAGGGCTAAAAGTCTTTCTGGATTCTGGAAGCTGAGCTTAGTGGCACATGTCAGTAATCCCAGCTACTCAGGAGTCAGAGATAGGAGAAGCACGGTCCAAAACCAACCCAGGCATAAAATGTAAAACTCTATCTGAAAAACAAATTGAAAAGTAAAAAGGACTGGTGAATGGTTCAAGTGATGGAATACATGCCTAGCAAGTTCAAAACCCTGAGTTTAATCCCCAGTACTGCCAAATAAAGTCTCAGAGGAGGCGGTGGTAGCTATTGAGTGTGAAAGGGAGAGGGAGGACTTGGGGCTCCTGTTTTGTGTGTGTTCCTTCTCTGTGTGGCAGTGATGTCTTGTGAATTGAATCTGGGTTTGGTTGAAAGCAATGAGAGAGATGGAATTCTTCTGTTTTTTATTGGGGTATATTTGTTGTACGGGGGAAATAATTGTGACAGTTCCAAATTGGCTTATATTGTACATTGGTTAGTTCACCCCCACTGGCTCTCCCCCGATCCCCTCCCCACCTCACTTAAAGTAATCGCAAGAGGTTTCTTTGTTCCATTTTGTATATGACGTCCATCCACCACATTCCCTCACCTTCATCTCCTGAGAGAAGAAATTCTTTTTTCTTTGTCTTTTTTTTTATGTGTGTGTGGTACTGGGGTTTGAACTCAGGACCTACACCTTGAATCACTCTACAGCCCTTTTTTGTGATGGGTTTTTTGTTTTTTTTTTTTTTTCAAGATAGGGTCTCGCAAACTCTTTGCCCTGGCTGGCTTTGAACCATGATCCTCCTGATCTCTGCCTCCTGAGTAGCTGGGATTACAGGCGTGAGCACCCGGCTGAGAAGGGAGTCTTAAGGCCTTCTTTCTAGTCCAGGGCTGTCCCTGAATTGGAAGGCGAGGCCAGCCAGGGGCTGTGGGGCCCGGTGTATGCAGGTAGAGATATGTAGTTTTTTCATTCATTAAATGTGGCCTGAGTGGCCACTGTGTGACAGGATGCAGCTAGCAGCCAGGTTCACAGAGTCCTGCCCTCTTGTTAGCTACCTCACCGAATAAAATCACAGTAGCATGTTAGGTAGAGGGAGAAATTCTGTGGCGAGGTGGAACTCAGAGTAAGAGGCAGAGAGGTGGGTACACTCCTGTAATCCCAGCACTTGGAAGACTGAGGCAGGAGGAATTACGAGTTCCAGGCCAGCCTGTGCTACATAGCGAGACTGTCTCAAAATACCACCAACAGAAGGGCAGAAGGAACCTAAGAAGGTGACATTGGAGCAGAAACCTAATGAAGCGAGGGAGTGACTTGTGCTAACATCTGGTAGAACAGCCTTTGGACAGCAGGTGCAAGTGTCCTGGGGCAGAGACATGCCACATGTTCGAAGTCAGCAAGGCACAGTGAGTGATGGGAGAACAGTGAATATTGAGACTCTGGAGATAGCAGGACCCAGATCATCCGAGGTCTGGGATCCACTTAAGACAGCTGCATTTTGTTTCAGACTTAATGAGAGCCAATTGGGAAGTCTGGGTGAAGGGGGTGCAATTCATTTGCTCTGTTTTAATTACTGCATCTGCAGGAAAGGGTCATAGGGAGGGTTGAGCAGGGACAGAAGCAAGGACTGGTGAGGAGACGTCACACTGGTCTGGGGACAGGTTGTCAACTCTGGCCGTACTTTTTTGTTTTGTTTTGTTTTTGTGGTACTGGGGTTTGAACTCAGGGCCTACACCTTGAACCACTCCATCAGCCCTTTTATATGATGGGTTTTTTTGAGATAGGATCTCGCAAACTATTCAGGCTGGTTTTGAACCACGATCCTCCTGATCTCTGCCTCCTGAGTAATTGGGATTACAGACGTGAGCCACCATACCTGGCCCTGAGGGTCTAGCCTCTGTCCTGTACCTCCCAGGGAGGCCTCCTCTGTGCTGTAGCTTGGCCACCCCACAGAAAAGAACTAGTCACATCTCTGGGTAGCCTCACCCCCAGATGTCTCCCCCCAGCACTGAGCCTTGCCCTGTATCCCTTTCCCACAGTGGCCATGAGCTGACCTGAAGAAGTGTTGTGCTCAGTGTGCCGCCTGCCCTGTCCCCTCTGCCCAGACCAGCCTGCTACAGATCCTGATCCCCCCACATACACCCACGAACCCACAAACAGGGTACTCTAGGAGGACAAGTTTATAGGAGGAACTCTGAATGCTTCTGGACTTTAAATCAGTTCCCCGCAAGCTGTAGTCCCTGACCCTGGGCAATGGGGAGCATATCATGTCACAGATCCAAGGGTGAAGGCTATCCGCCAGCCAGCTCAGGCCCCGGGAGCATCCTCAGAGCCCAGAGCAGGCCACACACCCTACACAAGTTGTAAGGGACTCCAGGTCTGGACTGGCTAGGGGCAGGAGGGCCCATTGCACAGGTGTGTAGACTGAGGCCCAGAGAGAGGACTGGGTAGTCCTTGGTGCTTGGAGAGACCTCACTGATGACCCTGCTGTGTCTTCCAGGCCTGAGCTGCTCACTGAAGGCGTCAAAGAACCCATCGTGGACAGTCAAGGTACCCTGTCTGGGGCGGGCATGGGAAGGTACCCGGCCTCTGCCACATCCCCTCATGATTCCCCTGTCTGTCCCTGCCCCAGGGTGTCCCCCTGTCTGCCCCTACTGGGTTTGCCCCTAGATGTCACCTTGGGGACCCCATGAGCTTCGTCCTCACCTGGCTTCTCTCCCCACCCCCAGAGAGGGACCCACTTGTGGGCAGGAGCCTGAAGAGACAGGCTTTTCAAGGTAAAGTTGACCACAGGGTGAAATTAGCCATCCCAGCACCATGTCGTTAACCAGCTTTGGGTGGTGGGGGGGGTTGGGTCTTGGGGAGCTGGGCAAGCCAGGGTGGCCACTGGGGTTCTTACAGAGAGACTCTGTTGGACAGATGGAGGGATGGCCAAGTAGAGGGCTCAGTGGCTGGCTGCCATTTGCCTGGGACCGTTCCAGATTCATCAGTCAGCAAATCAATTAGTGCTTTGAAATTCAAGGAAGGCTTAGTGACCAGCGAGGACAGAGAGCAAGGAAGGAAGGGGACTAAAGAATGGAAAATTAGTGCTGGGTGCTGGTGGTCACATCTGTAATCCCAGCTACTCAGAAGGCAGAGATCAGGAGGATTGCGGTTCAAAGCCTGCCCAGGCAACTAGTTTGCAAGATCCCATCTTGAAAAAACCCATCACAAAAAAGGGCTGGTGGAGTGGCTCAAGGTGTAGGCCCTGAGTTCAAACCCCAGTACCACACACACACACACACACACACACACACACGGAAAATGAGGAAGGTATGAGGGAAGGCTCAGCAGAAAGTGGGGGGACAGGCTGTGACTGAGGAGCCCCACAATGTGAGGGGGAGGCCCCCCTCTTTGCCGTCACTACAGGATGTGTTTGGAAACAGCCATTCACCTTTCCTGTGTTGGGGCAGATATGAGGACCAGGGTGTGGCTCAGTGGGGAGCGCTTTGCCCGGAGTGTGCAAGGCCCCGGGTTCCATCCCAGCACTTCATAAGGTCATGATGATCAATAAAAGCGAAGAGGTAGAGCGAGTGGGTATGGGTGAGGTGAGTCCTGAAGGGCAGCTGCTCTCGGCTGGTCCCTCATGGTCGCCAAACACGTAGGAGAAAGTAGGTCCTTGTGAGCAGTGACAGGAAGGGCCAGCTCCTGAGGGCAGGAATGCAGGGACAGGGACAGTTTGCTGCCTCCAGTCTCTCTCAGTGCTCCTGGGCATCCAGAACATTCTAAGATGAGGGAGTTCGTCTCCCAGAGCCTCACCCCCCAGCTTCCCACGCCAGCCCCTCAGCAGACTTGGGAGACCTTAAAAGACTTCCAACCAGAGTCACTCCCCCGCCCCCTGCCACCGGCTCTCTCCTGAGGCTGGGCCAAGCTGTAATCTTATGGAGGAGGACTGGGGGTCCCCATGGCACAAGCTGGGTCCTTCATAAACAAGCCCTGGGGACAGTGAGTGACCAGGGCAGCCTCCTGCCTTCCCACTGACTAACCAAATCCTCCATTCTGCCTGCCACCCAGCCGGGACAGGGATCCTCACTCTTCATGGTGTCTCACAGCTCTGGGACTTATTTACTGGTTTGGTGGTTTTCAAATGTCAACAATTAACTTAATTTCCAATTTGTCGCTGTTGTCACAACAGTGTGCGTTCTTCCAGAAAAAAAAAAAACACATGTGAATGCTGGAAGACTCTGAGGACTCACTCCAAGAATCCACTAATTGCCAGAGAAGGACTTTTCCATAATTAGGAAGCCATATTCCTTTAAAAGTCACCAAGTGCCTTTTAATCTTAACAGCCTCACTCCCTAATTGTTTTCACTTTGCAGAAAACTATGACACAAGACTCTCACGGATCGACATCGCCAACACACTAAGAGAGCAAGTGCAGGACCTGTTTAATAAGAAATACGGTGAGTTATGGGGTGCGGTGGGCGCTCCAATGTAGCCAAGGTCCCTGGAAAGTGGTCCTCCGCTTGTATGTATTTCGTGAGCACTTGCTATGAGCCACTAGGCACTTGGCGATACAGTGGTAAATAAAACACAGTGTTGGGCATGGTGGTGCACGCCTGTAATCCCACCACTTGGGAAACTGAGGCAGCAGCATAGCCAGACATAGTAAAACCAGCTGGGCACAGTGGCTGAAACCTGTAATCGTAACTACTTGGGAGGCAGAGATCAGGAGGATTGTGGTTTGAGGCCAGCCAAGAAATAAACATGAGATCCTATCTCAAAAAAATAACTAAAGCAGCCAGGTGCTGGTGGTTCACATCTATAATCTCAGCTACTCAGGAGACAGATCAAGAGGACAGTGGTTCAAAGTCAGCCCATGCAAATAGTTCGTGAGACCCTATCTCAAAAAACCCATCACAAAAAACGGCTGGTGGAGTAGCACAAGCCTAGCAAGTGTGAGGCCCTGAGTTCAAACCCCAGTACTGCAAAGAGAAGAAAGAGAAAGAGAGATGAAGCAGGGAGGAGGGAGGGAGGAAGGAAGGGCAGTGGGAGTGTGGTTCAAATGATAGCATGCCTGCCTAGCAAGTGCAAGGCTGAGTTTAAGCCCCAGTGCCCCAAGAAAAGACAGAAATTCTATACTTACCAGATGTGGGGCACCAGTCAGACTCTGAGTTTCCTGGGAGCCAGAGCAAAAAGGGAAATGGGGTCCATTCTCCAGTTTCCCGTGACTACGAGGTAGAAATTAGTTAGTTGAGAAGATTGGCACCTTCATGGAACAGAAGTGCCACAGCCCTGCAGAGGGTTGGTGACATGAACAGGGCTAAAGCCCAGATGCACAGAGGGCCCTGGGGTCCTGCAGCAGCTTGGCTGTCTCAGCTTGGCTTCCTTGCTGCTTGGTGGAATCCGCCCAACTTGGGCCAGGCGGGTGTTAAACCAAAGTCCCAGGGGCTGATGGAGTCACAGGGAGGGCCAGCTGTCCTCGGGGTGTGCAGTCCCTGTCTGCCGCAGCAGCTGGGAATACGTCCTGCCCACCCCCCGACTCCTCCCTGCCCAGTACAGACTCACACCAGGACCCCACTGTACAACTCACACCCCAATTCCCAGTCTCCTCCGAGTGCACCTCTCACAGTGCTCTCTGGGGGCCCCATGTGCACACTCTGCACACCGAGGGTCCCTGTGCTTCTGTATGCTCACGTCCCGCCCTGTCTGGCTCTGATGGGCACCACTGTCTCTCTTATTCCACAGGGGAGGCCCTGGGCATCAGATACCCAGTCCAGGTGCCGTACAAACGCATCAAGAGCAACCCGGGTTCCGTCATCATCGAGGGGCTGCCCCCCGGGATCCCCTTCCGCAAGCCATGCACCTTCGGCTCCCAGAACCTGGAGAGAATCCTCGCTGTAGCCGACAAGATCAAGTTCACAGTCACCAGGTACTTAGGGGAGAGCAGGAGTGGCCGGGATGGGGGATCGGAGAGGAGACCGCAAGCCATCCAGGGTGTAGGAAGCCCCACACATAGCCTGGTCACCCTACTCCAGCCTCCATAGTAAGAGTGGCCTTGTGAGCGCCTTGTATCTGCTCAGAAAGCGTTGTCCTGTGCACACCGACACCCACATATCTTGTTAACATGCAGACCCTGCTGCTGGGAGCCTGAGACAGGCCCCCCATATTACCAGCCTCCAGGTGACTGCTCTGTCCCCTAGGCCCTCCTGATAACCCCTCTCTCCTTCCCTTCCAGGCCGTTCCAAGGACTCATCCCAAAACCTGGTAAGGGGCACTGGCCGTGGGGGTGGGGGACCGCTTTCCATGGGGGCCAGGCACGGGGCAGGGAACCAGAGGCCAGTGCTCCGAGCACAGCCCACTATGGGTCATGGTGGCTGGGCTTGGGAACAGGAAATAGGCCCTGCCCTACTGCCCTCCCTCCTCTCTGGGCACCTGCCCCAGGTGGATGGAAGAAGGCTAGATCGTGTGCCATCCTGGGGCTGAGAAAGTCTGGGGAAGGTGGCACCAGCATTTTCCACTTGTCACCCAGTTGGGGACCAGGAGAAGGAGCTCAGCTGGGTCTGTCTCCCTTTCAGTCTGACAAACGGCCTGGCTGACTTGGTGAATGGATGAGGTGTTGTATGCGGGGATGCTGTCTATGGGGGCTCAGTAGCTGGGTAACAAGACATATGGGGACCACACAGCCCTATGACAAGACGCCTTTCCTGAGCTCCGTCAAGGCATCAGGTCCCTCTGTCTCACTGTGAGCTGCATCCTTGCCCTCCCAAAGCTGCAAGCACAGCTGTTCCTGTGGGGGTCAGAGGCCTCTAGGAAGCATTCAGGGCTGGCAGGGCTCTGGGCAGGGGCTGCCCATCGACCCTGGGCCTGTGCATATAGACGCAAGGGCCCTGTCACCTTTCCAGGTCCTTGATCCACCCCAAGAGACTCTGTCAGACCCAGGCCCTTGGGGAGGCTGCGCCCATATTCTGGGAATGGGGTGCTGCTGGGAACAGGTGCACGGTCACAGCAGTGCCCAGAACAAAGGGGGCCTGCAGCCTGGGATTCTATTTCCCAGTCATACTTATGTCACCTCCACCTGCCACAATGGGGCTGGCCACTCCCCTCCCTGGAGCCATTCACTTCCTAGCTTGAGCCTGGCTTGGAGGGCTTCTGGGGAAGGGGATGACACTGTTGGGATGCTCACCTCAGTGAGGGTGGTAGTGTGGCTGCTTGTGGCCACACAAGCAAGGGACCCCAGGAGGGAATGGGAGAGGTGTTCCTGGAGTCAGAAAGCCCCTTGGACTGGGAGTGGTGGTGCAGGCCTATAATCCCAGCTTCTTGGAAGGCAGAGGTAGAAGGATCTTGGTCTGAGCATACCCAGGGCAAAAGTGTGACATCCTATCTGAAAAATGAACTAAAGCAGAAGACTAGGAGCGTGGCTCAAGTGGTAGAGCGCCTGCCTAGCAAGTGTGAGGCCCTAAGTTCAAATCCTAGCACGAAAGGAAAGAAGGGAGGGAGGGAGGGGACTGTGGAAATCAGAGCTACAGTATGCAGGGGTTGTGAGCTGGAGGACCCCTGGCCAGCAGATGCCCGGACACTGAATCTCACACTAAGCACTTTTTATGAATTTCAGAGGGCCCAGTAGGACCAGACCATGTTCCCGGTACTAGGATGACAGCAATGACCAGAGGAGGCCTCTTGTTGGCTCCTTAGCCCTGTGAAGTAGGTCTTAAAGAGAGAGAAACTGAGAGCTGGGCTTGATGTGCAATTTGTAATCCCAACTCTGCATCAGGCAGAGGTAGTAGTATGGAAATCTCAGAGAAAAACAAAAACAAACAAAGAAAACAAGCAAGTCCTTATCTGAAAAATAATAACTAAAGCAAAAGTGGCTGGTGGAGAGGCTTATGTGGTGCCCTAGCAAGTAAGGCCCTGAGTTCAAACCCCAGTACCACCAAAAAAGTAGGGGGGGCTGACACTCAATGATGTGTGCCCCATGTCCCAGAGCTATGAGAGGCTCAGTTGCTTTCAAGTCTCTGTCTGAAGCAGCTTACTGGTGACTTGATCTCTCTCCCCAGCATGGAGAGGCCAGAGGCAGTGGCCCAGCCAGACTGGTCGCCTGGCAGCCACAGGAGAAATTAGCACTTCCTCAGCTGGCGACAGTTAAGGCACAGTAGGCCAGGCAGGGACCCGAGTGTGCACGTGCTTGTGAGGACATCCCAGGCCTGTGGACTCTCAGGGCTGCCCTTAGAGCCCTGCCGGCCCCGTGATGGGGCCTGTGCACCCGCTTGGCACCAGGACTGGCCTGTGTCCATTCAGTTCACCTGCCCCCAGGCCAGGTTCCCTTGCCCGCACCTGTGTTTCAGGCCTGTGTGACTCCAGGCAGATGAACCTCACAGAGGCAGGTCCCCCACTAGCCCTGACGTGGTGTGTGCCTGGGTTGCTGTCATAATTTGGCACCAGTGGTTCCATTCTGAGGTTAGCCCAGGAAGGAAGAATGGCCCAGGTGGCCCTCTACGGATAGAGGGAAAGCCAGTGAGGGGTGCACAGGCCAACCCTCTGCTTCCCAGAAGGAAGGGACCTGGGTGGGGCCCATTATCAGATGTGGGGACATGGTCTTTGTTTTGGTTTTGGTGGTACTGGGGCTTGAACTCAGGGCTTTACATTTGACTCCACCAGCCCTTTTTTTGTGATGTGTTTTTTCAAGATAGGGTCTATTTGCCCAGGCTGGCTTTGAACCTCAGTCCTCCTGATCTCTGCCTCCTGTGTAGTACAGGCATGAGCCACCAACCAACGCCCTGTATCTGCACAGCCAGTTTTAAGGGTGTTTGGAACACGGGGAAAGACACTCATTATGACCCTGGCATGTGCTAGGCTGTGGGCTCAGCACTGGACTCTGTCCCCTATCATTGAGGGGCAGGAACTCAAGGCTGATGGTACCTGAGTGACCTTAAGTCTCCGGAGTGCTGTATCTGTACAGGCTGGCTCCAGGGCCTCGCTCCCTGTGTCCTCATGGGGAGGCATGAGGAGTGTGGAGGGTTGGATCACAGGCAGGATGTGACTCAGGGAAGCCGCGGAAAGGAGTGACTTGACAAGATCTGGGGATAGCGCCCAGCCCAGCCTCCCGGCAGACCCCAGAGCCCTGGGCACCTCCCGGAGGTGGCCACTTCCAGAAACCAGGGCTCCCCCTCCAGACAATGATTCAGGGGCTCAGCTAGCGTTTCTGTCATTGGAGATGGAACCCAGGGCCTTCCTCGTGCCCTACAAGCACTCCTCAACTCTTTTCTTTTTTTTATTTTGAGAAAGGGTCTTACCATGTAGCCCAGGCTGGCCTGGAACCCTCCATCCTTCTACCTCAGCCTCCTTAGTGCTGGGATTACAGATGTGCACCACCACACCTGGCTTTTATTTTTTGTGGTGCTGGAGATGGAGCCCATGTCCTCTCCAGGGTTGGGCAAGTACTGTATTTCTTGGATCTCAGTCACTGCTCTTCCCACAAGGCCTGCAGAGGGTGGCAGCCACCTAGACGGTAAGGCATCCTGGCCCCAGTCTCAGGAATGGCCCTGGCAGCATTGGTGCTGAGGTAGGGGGTCAATTTGGAAGGACTAGGGTAGACAGCCTGGCAGGCTAGCCCCTTGCTTTCTCCTGACACTTGTCATTCTGGACTGGGAAGGTCTTCAGACTCCGGGAGCCTTCAGCGGTCTAAGTCACTGAGCTCTAGTCCTGCCCCAGGGACAAACTGTTCCCAGGCCCTCCCCTACACAGTACCTGAAGCCTGGCACAGGCTGGCACCAGGGCTCTGAGTTGAACCAGAACAGGAACTAGCTGAGGAATGTGGTGACACTGGTAGTACCTTTGTCCAGACAGCGGCCTCAGGGCAGGTGGGGGTGGCACGGTACGCTTGGGGCCTGCCTGCCAGGCAGCACGTGGGCCATGGAACAAGCTGGCACACCTGCCCCTCCAGGCAATCCAAGTAAGACAGACTGTGGGGAGTGCTGGTGGACCATGGAGGGCTGTGTCCCTACTGCCCCAAAGAGAAATGGTTGCTGTTGGTCTTCCTGGAGCCTGGAAAGCTTCCTGGAGGAAGTGTTGAGGAGGTGGCCTTGGAGGTGACCAGAACAGCGCATGGTGTTGACACAGGTCAGAGCCTAAGGGAAGGCACAGATGTAGTGTCCAGCAGCTGGGGATGAAGCCAGCTGGGTGGATGTGGCACATCATCCATCCAGAGAGGGAAGGAGGACACTCCCGGAGGCCCCTTTTTCTGGTTTGGGCTGGGGGCTTCCTTCTGGCTGGTGGGAGCTGCTGTGAAGTGGCTCTGAGCTGCGCCTGTAATCTTAGCTACTCGGGAGGCCAGTTGGGAGGATCACAGTTTGAGACCTACCCAAGTGAAAAGTTGGAGAGACCCCATCTTAATCAATAAGCCAGGGTCTGGTTCTGTGCACCTGTCATCCCAGCCATGAGGGAGGCTGAGGGAGGAGGATCACAGTCTAAGGCCAGGCCAGGCAAAAATACAAGACACTGTCTGAAAAGTGACTAAAGAAAAAAGAGCTGGGGATGTAACTCAAGTGGTAGAGCCCCAAAATTCAAACCCCAGTACTTCTAAAAAACAACAAAAAAACCCTGATGACCTTCTTGCGTCGGGGTGCGTCCTAGCTCTGTAGCTACCTTGTCCCTAATAGAAGACATTTGGCCAGCCCTTCACATCTTTCCTCCTTTCTTTCAGAAAGAAACTGAGGCCCAGAGAGGTTGAGGAACTTATCGGGGTCACACAGTATCTGCATAGCACGGCTGAGATTTGAACTTAAGAACTGAGGGTTGGCTCTACCTCTGCCCTAGGCCCGACTTGTGCCCTCTGTGGGCTGTGACTGCATCCTCTTCCCCCACCATGCTGCCATCACACTGGGCGGCGCTTTGCTGCCCTCTCCTGACCACCAGGTGCAATTACACTAGTCCTGTCTAACCCTTTCAGCTTGCTGTCAACAGCACCTGCAGTGTGCTGTCACATGGAACTTTCCGCCCTTCAAAGCCTTCAGCGCAAAGCTTGCGTTCTAGCAGGAAATGAGTAAGAGCCAGAGCGGTGTGCGACAGTGGCACAAGCCTTGGAGACAGAGGAGACGCAGGAAGACAGTTTTAGGAGTTAGAGGCAGGAGGAAGTAAAGCCACAAGCCTGGGGAGCAGCTCTGTGTACCAGATGTACCTGACATGCTCCAGGCTGGGTTCCAGTGCCAGGCAAGCCCTGGTGTCCTGTGGGTTGTAGGCATTTTAGGGGATGGAGGAGACAGAGGGGT